TCTTGGGCATGCACGCACACACGCCCAGCGTGAGTTTTAAGCCACCAAGCCCGGGACGTGAACCGCTGTTGACTGCATGGGAGTCCAGCGACATAGCCATTATGCTAACTGCTGGTCCCTCCACCCACTCTTAAGCAGAACTCAAGGACAAAGTAATGAATCCAACTCATTCAATAGCTGAGTCTCCACCAGGATTTCTGACTTGTTTCTTTTGTTCTTAAATATATTTTGACTCGAGAACAGTATTCATCAGTGGGTAAATAGTTTTCTACCTATCCATGGCTTGTGACCTCCACAGACCAGCCAGCACTGGTGATTCTCCTTTAGAACATGTGTCTCTCCATGATTATTCAAGCCTGAAGATGATCAGCACGAAGAGTGAAAGCCGGAAAGACCTACAGCTAAATAGATCCAGGCCACCACACACAGGCCCCAGGGTGATTCTGCTGCTGAACTCATCATCTCGATGGCAGCACAGTGGAAACGTGTCAGGCAGACACACCACCAACCTCGGACCAGGCAACCCAAGTTCAAGTATCAGTAGATGATTGGCCCTGAGCAACTCTCAGACTCTGAATACACATCCTTACCCAATCTACTTCTCAGGATGCCTGTGGAGGTCAGAGGAGATCAACCACTCCTGAAAACTGTGAATTATTGTACAAACTGATTCTACCAATGACAATTTATAGCAGCGCTTCATCAGCATGCCAAAAAGATACTAAATAAAACTTATGTATGCCCTTAGAATATATCTTGTTCCTCAAAATATCAAATGAGGTAATAGCAAGTCATATGACAGAAAAAGCATTTAAAGATCACGCCACCGCACACTAGGCGCAGTCCTCGAAATAACCAGACTCACATCAACTTGCTGTTTGTTTGTTTGGTTGGTTGGTTGGTTTTTTGGGGGAAGAGATTTTTGCTATAGGGCGTATGCACTCACCAGAAAGACAGAGAGAGACAGAGAGGCGAAAAGCGAGAAATCACCGCCCCCCCCCCCCCCGGG